AACCCAGCCCCCAGCTGCTCCCTGAGCACGGGCTGCGCCCCCTCAGCAGACAGCCCAGGAGGCGCGTGCGGGGCGGGAAGGAGCTAGAAGCTGCAAGGGCCACGCCGGTCTGTCCTTGAGAAACCCCGGGCCAGAAGGGAGACAGGGTGCCCCCCATCTGCTTCCCACAAGACGGGAAACTGCGTGGGGTCCTGGCGAACAGGAATCCTCTGCTGGGAAGCCTGTGGTCACCGTCAGTGGACGCTCTGGACACGCCCGCCCTCGGGCCTAAGGCGTGAACCAGTGAGCTGGCGGCTGGGGGTCAGTGTGTCCGGCCGGCGGACGGCGCCAGCACTGCCCAGGGGCGTGGCAGGGAGGTGCCCCCCGCACCTGCCGGCAGCAGCAGGGACTGACCGGCCAGGAGGGTCAGACACCGCCCCCGACAAACTCTGCCCGAGCTCGAGGGCCAGGCCTCCGTCTCCCCCGAGTCTGAGAAAGGGGTTCGCGTCGCCGTGACCCTGACCCAGCAGCTCACACAGCCCACAGAAGCCGCTGGAAAGAGGCCTCGCGAGGGGAGGGACCACTGCAGCTGGCACCGCACCCCGGGAGCCCGCCCGCCCGCCCGGGTCCCAGGGGGCCCCCGCCCGGTCGCCACCTGGGGAGGGACCTGGGCCTCACCTTGCAGACGCCCTCCAGCGTGTCCCGGGCGGAGTCCCCGGGCCGCACGACGGTCAGCACGGACCGGCTGCCGGGCAGGCAGAACCAGGACGGCGGGAAGTACTCATGGGCCCACATGTCGCAGTCGGGGTTCTGCTGGTGGGGGCTGGGCAGGGCCATCTCCTTCTCCACCTGCAACGGGAGCCGTCAGCCAGGCTGCGCCCGTGGACGCCGTGACCTGCGACCCCGGGCACGGGGCCTCCTAGTCCCCAGGAGGGCCCAGGGCGGCGGCGGCGGGGGGCGGGGCAGGGTGCCTGTGGGGGAAGAAGCACCGAGGAAGGAGCGCTGCTGGGTGGGGGGGGGCGTCCCCCAGACCTCGCACCTGGTCTGTCCCAGGCGGGCGTGCAGGAATGGGAGGCTGGAAACTTAGAAGAAACCAGGAGGAAGGGAAGAAAAGGGGAGGAGGAGGGAGGGAGAGAGGGAGGGAGGAGGGGAGGGAGGGAGGAAGGGAAGAAAAGGGGAGGAGGAGGGAGGGAGAGAGGGAGGGAAGGAAGGAGGGAGGAGGGGAGGGAGGGAGGAAGGGAAGAAAAGGGGAGGAGGAGGGAGGGAGAGAGGGAGGGAGGAGGGGAGGGAGGAAGGGAAGAAAAGGGGAGGAGGAGGGAGGGAGAGAGGGAGGGAAGGAAGGAAGGAGGAGGGGAGGGAGGGAGGAAGGGAAGAAAAGGGGAGGAGGAGGGAAGGGAGGGAGGAAGGGAAGAAAAGGGGAGGAGGAGGGAGGAAGAGAGGGAGGGAAGGAAGGAGGGAGGAGGAGAGGGAGGGAGGAAGGGAAGAAAAGGGGAGGAGGAGGGAGGGAGAGAGGGAGAGAAGGAAGGAGGGAGGAGGGGAGGGAGGGAGGAAGGGAAGAAAAGGGGAGGAGGAGGGAGAGAGGGAGGGAAGGAAGGAGGGAGGAGGGGAGGGAGGGAGGAAGAAAGGAGCGAGGGGAGGAGGGGAGGAGGGGAGCAGGGGAGGAAGGAACCTAACCCATCCACTGGCTCAGCTCAGACACGGGTCCCCCATCCACCGTGTCAGGCTCAGCCCGGAGCCCCCGGGAGGGCCGACGGAGCTCAGGCCCGTGAGCTCAGGGCCGCAGGCTGGAAGGCCAGGAGCCCAGGGAACGGGGGCGGGCGCCCGCGAGGCCTCACCGGAGCACCCCCGGCGGCGGCGGCCTCACTACGGGGCCTACAACAAGGCAACACCTGCTACTCTCCAGTCAGAGGCCCAAAAGCCCCCGAACTCGCTCCAGCCGGACGCACGTCTAAGAAGAGCCTTCCCTCGCAGGGTCCTGGCACCCAGTGGGCCGCCGAGCCCCCGTGGGGAGGGGCACTCCTCACCGACGCCCAGAACACGGGGTCACGAGGCACGACCTCCGCTCCGGCCTCCAGCTCCCCAGACGGGACGGAGCCTCCTCCCCGCCGGCCCCGAGGCCCCCCGGGGCCACGCTGACCCAACACTCTTCCTCCCCCCGAGACCCCCCCGGGACCACGCTGACCCAACACTCTTCCTCCCCCCGAGGCCCCCCGGGGCCACGCTGACCCCGACACGCGGGCTCCAGGGCCCGCGGCCGCCTTTAAAGAAGGGATGTACCCGCTCTCACAGGGAGAGGGTACCCGGCGAGGCCGGGGGACAGAGCCATTACCTTGCCATCGGGGACAGCGTCGTCGAACGCCTCCTCCAGAGCCTGCTTGGCGGCATCGGGCCCCTCGCTGAACACCTACAGCACACACATGGCGGTGAGGGTGGGAGGGGACCGGGAGGGGCACCGGGAGGGGCACCGGGAAGGAGGGGCACCAGGAGGGGGACCGGGAGGGGGACCAAGGGGGAGGGGGACCGGGAGGGAGGGGGCCCCGCCCCACGCTGGCCCTGGGCCCACCTGGTTGATGCTGGGGTGGCCCTGCTTCTTCTTGGAGGTGGAGTCCAGGCCCCAGAGCGAGGAGAAGCGGCTGCGGCGCTTGCTGGTGGAGCGCGCCATGGCCTGCGTGCGCCGCCTCACGCCCGTCTCCGCGGTGCGGGCCGCCACCTGGGCAACGGGGAGGGCGGCGGGCAGCGGGCAGCGGGCACGGAGCGGCGCGGCGGCTCCCGCGAGGCCGGTTAGATCCCCGCGCGCCGTCCCCTCTGCTCAGCGTTCTCCGACCTCCACACCTATCCTTCCCGGCTGGACACCCAACCCCCATCCCACACCCTCTTCCCGGCTGGACCCTGACCCGCCCCACACCCACCCCTCAGCGCAACCCTCCCAGGGACGCTCCGGGCGAGCGCTCACCAGGGCGTGGAAGGACGACACGGAGAAGATGCCCAGGCGCCCCATGGCCACCTTGGTGGGGCGGCTGGCGAAGGCGAGCAGGCGCTTGGGGTTGGGCAGCTCGCCGCCCTGCAGGCTGGCCAGGTAGCAGCGGTAGCGGAACAGGTCCATCTGGAACTGCTCCAGGTTCTGCTCCCACACGAAGATCTGCGGGCGCACGGGGCACGGGGGGCGGGAAGCCGGTCACAGCTCAGACCTGCACCAGCGTCACACACACACACACACACACACTCCCCCCCAGCCCCGGTGCCCTCCTCGGGGGGCACAGAGGGGCCCTGTGCTCTCGGGCGCCAGCAGCTGGGGGCAGGGGCTGTGTTCACAGCCTGTGGGGTCTCTGCAGAGACGTGGCCGTGGATTCAGAAAGACACACAGAAACACGTCACGGGGCCTGTGCCCAGGTGGGCTCACGTTTGCAGTGTTACAGGGGCCTCCACGCTGGTTCGGGGCATGAACCAGGAGTAGGAAGTGAAACGGGGTTCAGCCCTGGGAACTGGATGACTTACAAGGACCAGCTTCTCACAGGAGACGAGGAGAGGAAATGGGTGAGCTGAGGAGCAGAGCGAACACTCCGCGGTGTGGGCACAAGTGGGAGATGGAGGATGGGAGATGGGGGGAGGAGAGACTGGGATATGGCCGACCCAGATCCTGGGGACTCAGGCCCCCTGAGCGGAGACCACAGAAGGGCAAAATAAGACCTGCCCCTAAAGCTGATGGGACATCTCAATAGGCTCATGGAAGCATAAGACTGGGGCCGGAGCTGTTGCTCACGGGTTGAGTGTCAACCCAGGAACCAGGGGGTCCCAGGTTCAATTTCAGTCAGGGCACAGGCCCAGGTTGTGGGCTCCATCCCAGTGTGGGGCGTGCAGGAGGCAGCTGATCAACGATTCTCTCTCATCACAGATGTTTCTATCTCTCTCTTCCTCTCCCTGCCTCTCTGAGATCAATAAAAATGCATTTAAAAAAGAAAGAAAAAGAAAACCACACTCTACACCCCCTAAACTAGAATCCTCAGTTTATCGAGGAGTCCAGAGTGGACCCCACGCTGAGCCCGTCCGCCCGATAATGTGCAGACGAGGCGCAGACCTCCCAAGGCCAGACGCCCGGCACACACCAGGGACGGCTTCACCCCATCCCAGCCTCCTTCCCGCGTGACGCTGCTCCCTCGGCTCCTGACAACCGACCACGAGTGACAGCGAGGAAACTGCCCGGTAAAGGACTGAGAGGTGGGTGGTGGCCACAGGCAGGCAGAGGACAGAGCTGAGAACCACTCAGGACCTCAGGATCCCACCCAAGTCTAAACACAGAGTGATCACCTAACCTAGGAGGGCAGTCACCTGACCCAGGAGAGCGATCTTCTGACCCAGGAGGGCAGTCACCTGACCCAGGAGAGCGATCACCTGACCCAGGAGGCAATCATCTGACCCAGGAGAGCGATCTCCTGACCCAGGAGGGCAATCACCTGACCCAGGAGAGCGATCTCCTGACCCAGGAGGGCAGTCACCTGACCCAGGAGAGCAATCTCCTGACCCAGGAGGGCAGTCACCTGACCCAGGAGAGCGATCTCCTGACCCAGGAGGGCGATCACCTGACCCAGGAGGGCAGTCACCTGACCCAGGAGGGCAGTCACCTGACCCAAGAGAGCGATCACCTGACCCAGGAGGGCAGTCACCTGACCCAGGAGAGTGTGAGTCTAGAGGGAGAGCAGTCACCTGATCTAGGATTGTCTTCTTCTTCTTGGAGTCGGTGACAGAGGACAGCTGCATCTCGCCCATTTTCTTCATCTTCTCATCCATGTCGATCTTCTGCTCCAGCTTCTTGATTTCCGACTTGAGGAGGCGGAGTGTGTCCTCCTTGTGGTGGTGCCTGGCGACCGCAGCCGAGCAGGCTGAGTGGATGGCGGTGATCCAGTTCTCCAGCTCCGTCTGGCTGGTGGTCTGCGGGGGAGGGAGGGGCGGCAGGGACACAGACCCGTCTTAGGCCAACGGAACGAGCACTTCCCGATGGGCCGGTCCTAAAGAGAGTTCATCCAAACTCTCACACAACGATGGGAGGATGAGGGAGGAGCCTCTGTACGTCTGCAGCTGAGCACCCGTCCATCGTAACAAAGTCCGGAGGTGGTGTCCAAGTCAGGTGAGAAACAGCTAAGTGTGTTCATGAGAAATGTGGGTAAAAGGAACTAAACCAAACACCCAGTTAGACCAGCCGAGCCATGTGCTTGGGGCAGGGGGTGGGGAGCAGGAAGGAGAGGGAGAACCTCACTCTACGTGCTAAGAGGTCACAGCATTCTCTAAAACTACGCACTCAGAGTGACTTAGAGCAAACGTAAATGCTGTGAAAACACAGCCAGTGCTGCGAGTCGCACCGTATGTGGGTGACACATAACAGCACACGAGTCACACACGGAAACCTAGCTTGACCACACCACGGTCAGCACTGCGTTTCTAACAGCCTGGATCCTCACGCACCCAATGCAGGCATGTCCCATGAGGCAGGCGTGTCCCGTGAGGCAGGCGTGTTCCGTGAGGCAGGTGTGTCCTGTGAGGCCGCCAGCGTGTTCACCTGCACGTCCGCTACCCCACGGCTCCCCTCGCTGACCGTGCCCCTCAGGATGGTTTCCTGGGGGCGCCCTAGGTCCTCTCGGACACAAATGTCCAGCACCATAACCAAAGTGTGGGCACACAGGAGGGGCCGAAGGCACTGTGACCGGGGCGTGGGCACACAGGAGGCAGCCCGCCTGGACGGGTGGCTCAGCTGGCTGAGCGGCATCCTGTGCAGCTAAGGTCACGGGTTCGACTCCAGGTCAGGGCCCGTACCCCGGCTGCGGGTTCAGTCCCCAGTCGGGCGTGTGTGGAGGCACCCGGTTGGTGTTTCTCTCTCTAAAATCAACTTAAAATGTAGGCGTAGAGAGAGCGCATCCCCAACAGACGCATACACCCTTCACCCGCTGACAGCTCAACTCTGAAAACAAAACGCTCTTCCGCAAACTGCCTTTATAAAGGCTTAAACTGAGTGCGTGCCCTTCTGGGACGCCTGTTTGTTCTCGGGTGAGGGGGGCGGGAGGAGAGTGTCCTGAGCGCGGCCGTTGCCCCCTCCCAGCGGGGACCCCAACGGCCACGGCGGAGAGTCCACGTGGAAACACTCCCAGGGCGGGCTCACCCCGAGGCCGAGAAAAGCCGTCGCCGTCCGTCGGCGTGAGCGGCGGCACAGGAGAAACACCGCGCCCACCGCCGCCGCGGTGTGACGCCTCAGTCACCCGTCTGCACCAACGGTTAGAGCCACACACAGCCCAAGGCGCCGGCGGCGACACCAGTGTGGTTCGCACCGTGCACACCCTGGAGCAGCGCTCTCCACCTTCCCTCGCGCTGTGCTGACCCCCACCCGCAACGTATTTCCGTTGCTACTTCTTAACTGTTGAGCACCGCTAGCAGGGTCGCCTAAGACATCAGAAAACACAGATACTTACACTACGATTCATGACGGCGGCAAAGTCACAGTTATTGAGTAGCAATGAAAATGATGTTATGGGCCCAAACCGGTGTGGCTCAGTGGATAGAGCGTCGGCCTGCGGACTGAAGGGTCCCAGATTTGATTCCGGTCAAGGGCATGTACCTTGGTTGCGGGCACATCCCCAGTAGGGGGCGTGCAAGAGGCAGCTGATCGATGACTGTAAAAAAAAAAATCAATAAAAATCCCCCCTCTCTGTAAAAAAATCAACAAAAATGTATTAAAAATAATAATGATAACGTTACGGCTAGGGGTCACCACAGCAAGAGGAGCTGTGTTAAAGGGTCGTGGCATCAGGAAGGTGGAGAGCCGCTGCCCTAGAGGTTTGCCATGGCGAGGGCTCAGCCACGGAGCTGCCTGCAGGACAGCGCTGCTGTTACTGGACAGAAACAGCAGAGGGCAGCACACGCCCAGGCAAGCCGCCGTCAGAGAACCAGTCCTGAGTCCTTAAGGGGGACCTAGATACTCGGACCACGTGGGGGATTTTTCAAAGAACGAAAGGAGATCGTGTCTAAAGATGTTGGAGAATATCTCACCAAATAGAGAATATCGACAGAGAAATTTTATATTTTTTCTTATTGATGTCAGAGAGGAAGGGAGAGTGAGATAGAAACAACAGTGATGAGAGAGAATCATGGATCGGCTGCCTCGTGACACCCTCTACTGGGGATGGAGCCTGCAACCTGGGCCTGTGCGCTTGACCAGAATCAAACCCAGGACTCTTCAGTCCACAGGTCAAGACCCTTCAGTCCACTGAGCCACCCCGGTGAGGGCTCAATAGAGAAATTTAAACCAAGATTGCTTTTAAATATAAACTCTGGAGTTGGAATGTAGAGTAAGCAAAGCGAAACAGTCATCTGAGGAGCTGGACAGCAGATTCCGGCTGAGAAATGAAGAACGGGCGACCCAGGCCCAGTCCCAGGACAGAACAGGAAAAGAACGAGGAACCGGGAACAGAGCCTGTGCTGACATTAACACGAAGGGACCCCAGGAGGGGGAGCACAGCACACGGCAGATAAGCTGCTTGAAGAAATAACGGCTGAAAACTTCACGTGTGATTTAAAACACACACACACACACAAACACACACCTACACATGCAAGGAGCTCCACGACTCCAGATGGAACAAACGGAAAGAAATCAATCGTTGCAGTTACAGGCAGATGATCATCCCACTGTCTGACGACAAGAGACAAAACTCCCCAGAGCGAACAAGGGGAGTCCCTGTGTGGAGCAGGGATCCGTCAGTGACAGCCGACGGCTCGCGGGGACCCACAGCGCCTGATGGCGGCAGCAGGCGCTGTCCAGGCTGTGAAGGAACACGGCCAATCACAAGTTTCATACCCAGCAGGACTAGCCTTCAAGACGCAGGAGAAAGGAGGACCTTCCCCGAGGAACCCAGCCTCCTCCCCGAAGGTAAAGGGCACTCGCTCTTCCCGCTGCGGGCTGCACGCGGCCTGGGGGGCAGAGGGCGCTCAGACGCGGCCGGACACGCCTATTCTTGGCCCGATGGGGCCACAGTCTCTCTGCGGGACTCGGTGGAGCCATGCGTTCATGCCTGTGCCCTCTTCTTAGGCGTGTTTTATGTCACACGTTAGAGAAAGAGTAACAGGCTTCCTCTCTGTCCACAAACAGAACCACTCTGTTATACTTGTTACGTTAATGTCCCAAACAGAAATGGCGTTAGGGCCCAAACCCCGACACCTGGTGGAGTAACTCCCTCTCTCCCGGGCCCTCGTCCCGCTCTCTCCCCGGGTGGGGTACTCTCACTCCGTGTCCCCGTCCACCCCCACGCTGCCCCCCGTCCCTGCCAGCCCTGCCCACGCACGGAGCCCCCCGGTGCCCGTCCCAGGGTGACACGTAAACACTGTGAGCGCCTCCCGGCGTGGCAGCCGCCTGAGCACAGCACACGGGAAGCAGATGCAGGCTGAGCCGGTCCTGGTGATGAAGTCAGGGAAGGACGGTCCCTGACAAGCACCCTAACAGGAAGTCCCGCGAGCGCACCGCGGCGAGCCCACGCCCGGGGCTCCCGACAGAAGCCAACGCCGGCCCCGCGGCCGCTGGCGGGTCAGCGTGTCTAAATACGATCCCAGCCACACGGCCAGAGCGGCAGGCACGGGCCTGAGGAGACGGGAGAGGACGGATGTAGGTGGCTACGTCGCTGCTTTGCTGAAGGAGGGTCTTAGAGGACAAGTGACAGAGAACACCCACAGCTCACATCCCGGCTCTGTGATGGGGCTCAGACCCTTTCCCAAGAGCTGTGCCCACCACAGGGAGCCCTCCCCGCACCCAGCCGCGCGGGTGCCCGCTCACCCCCGCCCCCTCCATCCCCACCCCTGCCCTGGAGCTCCGAGCCGCTCTGCGGTCACCGGGTCTCCACGGGGACCGGAGGGGAGATCTGACCCGCCCCGAGGGCAGGGAGCGGGGAAGGAGCCCACTGACCTGGAAGAGGAAGGCGTCGCCCAGGCAGTTGCTGAGGCAGAAGACGAAGTCCTTCTTGGGGTGCTCGGGCACGGCCTGCACCACGCCGTTCTCCACCCACACGGCGTGCTTGGGCACGCTGCCCGGCTCGATGCCCGAGCGGCCGTCGCTGTCGTAGAAGAGGAGCGTGCACCCTGTGGGCAGAGGGAGCGTGGCCGTGGGTGCCGTGCGGGCGCTGGCGGGCGCTGTGGGAGATCCAGGAGGCGGGCAGGGGGAGCGTGGCCGTGGGTGCCGTGCGGGCGCTGGCGGGCGCCGCGGAGACCCAGGAGGCGGGCAGAGGGAGCGTGGCCGTGGGTGCCGTGCGGGCGCTGGCGGGCGCCGCGGAGACCCAGGAGGCGGGCAGAGGGAGCGTGGCCGTGGGTGCCGTGCGGGCGCTGGCGGGCGCCGCGGAGACCCAGGAGGCGGGCAGAGGGAGCGTGGCCGTGGGTGCCGTGCGGGCGCTGGCGGGCGCTGTGGGAGATCCAGGAGGCGGGCAGGGGGAGCGTGGCCGTGGGTGCCGTGCGGGCGCTGGCGGGCGCCGCGGAGACCCAGGAGGCGGGCAGGGGGAGCGTGGCCGTGGGTGCCGTGCGGGTGCTGGCGGGCGCCACGGAGACCCAGGAGGCGGGCAGGGGGAGCGTGGCCGTGGGTGCCGTGCGGGTGCTGGCGGGCGCCACGGAGACCCAGGAGGCGGGCAGGGGGAGCGTGGCCGTGGGTGCTGTGTGGGCGCTGGCGGGCGCCACGGAGACCCAGGAGGGGAAGGCCGAGCCTGAGCACGGCCAAGGTCCAGACCGCAGCCTCTGGCCACACGGGCCTCCTGCAGCCACGGAGGCTTCCCGCTCTCCGTCTGCCTTAGACTGCCTGTCACACACGCATCCTCCCGGGAGCACCGGGCCTGAGGGCTCCAATGTCCACGCCCCGTGGCCCGCACGGGGCCCACCCTGCACCAGGACGGGCAGTATGCAGTCCCACCGGAGACCCTGCCCCGAGAACAGCAGGAGAAACACACCCGGGCCCGGGGCAGCGGGGTTTGGGGCCTGGTCCTCGGGGAGCACGTGTGCTGTGCCGGCCTCAGGGCCGGAGGCAGGGGAGGAGGGGAGGGCTGGAGTCCCGGGTCTCTTCCACCTGCTGTGCCGGTGGGGGGGGGGGGTAGGAGGGAGGAGCGCTCAGGGCGTCCCGTGGGCAGGAGCAGGGACAGGCCCACAGCCAAAGACGGTCCAGAAACCGCGTGGCGCCCCTCAGCGAGCCCCGCTCCCCGTCCCCTTCGGGGTGACCCCGCGGGTGGGCAGCAGGCACAGCAGGCACGAGGGGCAGCCTCGGCCACCTCTGAACCCAGAACAGGAAGCTGCGGGGCCCCCAGCCCTGGGGGCACACTGAACCCCTGGTCTCCCCGACCGCCGTGCTCACAGCCTTCCCGCCTGTTTACAATCGGCCGAAACAGGAGGCCCTTAAAACGAGCCTTTCCTCCATTACCACCTGCTCCAATGTCAAGACCACGCGAGGCACTTTAAACAATAAAACAAAATAAAAATAAAGGACGCGGTGCGCCGCGCGCTGAGCGGCACAGGCCGGTGGCCGCAGCGCCTGCGCCTCCCGAGTGGGGTCCCCCGTGAGCTGCTGGGCGGCCGAGACGCTCCCGGGACCAATTCCAAGTGAAGTCTCTGATCTAATTAACTTTCTGCCTAAAGTGGAAGAACCTTCGGGGAATCTCTGCCCCCCCCTGTGCCCTGCGTTTTAACTCCATGTGGAAGGCCGGCTGCTGAGCTCACAGCGCCGCCGAGGACGCCGGACTCGGGGTCACTCGGAGCGGGGCCACAGGCCGGTGAGCTGCGCCCTGACTGCCGCCCCGGCTTCCTTATCCCTCATTCCCGCCAGGACCCCAAAGGAATGGACCCCATTCCCTCCCACGCCCCCAGGAAACAGCAGCGCCTGGTATTGCTCCCGGTGGCCGTGAGGGTCAGGGGGAAGCTCCCATGAGCCCAGCTCCAGGGCCCGTCACGGGCCGAACGCCATCCCCGAGGCCCTGTGCTGAGGACCCCCCCCCCCCGAGGTGGAGGCTCTGAACCAGGAGCAGGGACCCTAAGAGGTAATGCGGGGCAGTGAGGCCCCGTGGGGTCCCCGTACAGCACAGCAGCTGCCTGTGAGAGGGGATCTGGACCGACGGGTGCAGGACCGGCCCGGGGAGACCCTGCAGGGCCAGGGGCCTCAGGGGAAAGCGGCTGCCCTGGCCCTCGGACCTCCAGCCCCAGGAGTGCGAGAACCTCACCCAGGGCGTGGTGTTCCGTTCCAGCAACACTAACACGCCCCCCCCCCCAAACTCCGAGCTTCAGCAGGGATGGGCACAGCCCCGAAAGGCCCTCAGGTGACCAGCGGGGAGCAGGGACAGGGGCCTCTGACCAACTGTTAAAAACTCAACACCGATGAACAAAACCAACCATGGCCAGCCGGCGTGGCTCAGGGGCTGAGCATCGACCTGTGAACCAGGAGGTCAGAGTTCGATTCCCAATCAGGGCACATGCCCGGCGGCGGGCTCGATCCCCAGTGTGCAGGAGGCAGCTGATCCATGCTTCTCTCATCATTGATGTTTCTCTCCCTCTCCCTCTCTCTCTCTCTCCCTCTCTCCCTCTCTCTCTCTCCCCCCCTCTGAAATCAATAAAAATGTTATTTTAGTAAAAAAGAATAAAACCAATGATCAGTCGTCTGAAAGAGCACGAGACCGCCGTGCGCAGGTGCGGCAGCTGGGGGAGGGGCCGGAGGAGGAGGAAGAGGAGGAGGGGGGGGGGGGGGCTCCCTGTCATCTCGGCCAGAGCGGACGGCATGGCCCGGCCCCTGGGACGTGACCCTGTGGCGCCTCCAAATCAGGGCACGGGGTCACAGGGCGGCGAGGGCAGCAGCCGCTCTCCGAAGGGAAAGTGGACAGAGCATTCCCTGAGTTCGACACCCCCTCCCCCCCGTGCACACATGCTCAACGCCTCGCCTGCACTCACATGCGCTCTGCATGCACGCACACAGGGTGTGTCCTTACACAGAACGCTAAGGGTCATGTCCCCGTGTCACGCTGTTTCCCACAGAAAACGCTGTGGCTGCCAGGACCCTGCTCTCTGTGCCAACGTGGACCCCCTAGGGCGGACGCTGATCCGAGATCAGGATGAGAGGAGGCGTTCAGGAAGGGGAGCCGTGCGAGGGGGAGGACTGGCCGTGGCGGGGAAGGCGGCTCCACCCGCAGCGGCAGCAGCCGCACACACAGCCGGAGCCTCGGCGCGAGGCTGTGTGCTCCAGGGACACACACACACACACACACACACACACACACACACACACCCGGAGTGAGGCCACCGCACCAGCCTCCTTGCAGCGAGCCTGACTCACTCCAACGGAAGGCGGCAGCTGAGGCCGCGTGCGGGCAGCGCCCTCCGTCCCCATTCCTCCGCTGGAACGCGGACCTGCCTCTGGGCCAGCCTGACCCCACGCGCCAGACGATGTTCTAGGAACCGCTGAGCCACAGGCAGAGCGAGGCTGGGCCCGGTGAGTCACGGCATTGCCACACCAGCGGGGCCTGACCGGGAGGTGGGAGGACAGACGTGGCCCCTGTGGGTCACTGGGTCGGGAGGCAAGACCGACTGTCCAATAACCTCTCCCTTCCTGTGCCCCAGCCTGGAAGCAGTGGCTGGCACAGGAGCCATGGGCCACCCAGACCCCGCACGGCTGAGCCTCTGGGACCGGCGGGTCCCACACCAACCACCACGGGCGGAACCAGGGTCACCCGGGCTGGTGTGTGCACCACACAGCTGAGCCCAGGTCTCTGCTCCTGGCAAACTCTGCACCGGCCGACCCCCCTGACCCAGCCCTGGACCAGCCGACCCACACTCACTGCGACAGGGGCCGGGGAAACCGAGCTCAGGACGCGTCACAGTGTCTATGCTACTGAGCACGTGCAGACAGCTGTGCACACGCTCAAAACTACATGCAAAACAATGACATAAATGTACGGTGGTAACGAATGATAAGAGGGAGACATACACTAGCACGTGTGAACGGGTCTGTCCACGCTCATGTAATGCTCCATGTGACACTAACACGGTGACTTTCACAAACACAGGGTGGCTTAGGCAACCTGAGCAGGAGCTGAACCCTGTGAGGTTATCGACATTCTATTGTTTCCACCTGGAAATGACAGTTCCAGAAGACACGGGAGGCACTTCACGAGCCAGCGTGATAAAGAATAACCTGTTAGGCGCATCCCTGAGATGGTCATGAGACCAGCTGCACACGGAGCGTGCCGGCTTAACTAAAAAATACACAGCAGCAGGGGCAGGAGGGACCCCAAGGTGAGTGAAGAGAGATGAGCAGGTGCCCGTGGTCAGCAGCCTGTGAGGACACAAAAGTGCATCAGTGGCCCTCACCGGTGTGGCTCGGTGGATCGAGTGTGGGCCTACGGACTGAAGGGTCCCGGGTTTGATTCCAGTCAAGGGCACATGCCTGGGCTGTAGGCTTGACCCCCAGCGGGGGCATGCAGGAGGCAGCCGATCCATGATGTCTTTCTCATCATTGATGTCTCTCTCTCTCTCTCTCTCTCCCCCCTCCTATTCCTCTCTGAAATCAATAAAAATAGGGTGTGTTTGTTTTGTTTTGTTTTGTTTTTGGGGGGGTGCATCAGTGCCCACCAGCGTGCTCAGTGGTTGAGCCTCCAGGAGGTCAGGGTTGGATTCAGGTCAGGGCACAAGTCTGGGTTGCCAGCTTGATCACCAGCAGGGGCGTGCAGGAGGCAGCCCATCCAGGATTCTCTCTCATCATGGATATTTCTCTCTCCCTCTTCCCCTCCCTCTCTGAAATAGATATACAAAGTGCGTCACAAGTTAGAGGCCGTACGAAACACAGTGAGCACAATGCAGTCATGTGTGAGCCCGGCTGCACCCACCCTCTGTGCACGCGCAGTCGAAGGCGCGCGCGGGGAGCACACCGGGGGCACCTGGGCGCACGGCCCCGCAGCGGGTGGGGGATGGGGGATGGAGGGGTGGAGGGTGGGGGACGGAGGTGGGGGATGGGGGATGGAGAGGTGGGGGATGGAGGGGTGGGGGTGGAGGGGGGATGAAGGGGTGGGGTGGGGAGATGGAGGGGTGGGGGGTGGAGGGGGGATGAAGGGGTGGGGGTGGAGGGGGGATGAAGGGGTGGGGGTGGGGATGGGGGTGGGGGTGGAGGGGGGATGAGGGGTGGGGGTGGAGGGGGCCCGCTCACCTCTGAGGGCCGCCCAGTAGTGCTTCCAGCGCCGGCGGGCGGCCGGCTCCACCTTGCGGCTCTTCTTGCGCACCAGCAGGTTCTTGACGGCCAGCGCGCCCGCCTTGCGCACGGTGCCCCGCGCGGCCGCCCGCAGCGCGTCGTCCGAGCGGCCGGGCGAGCTGGGCGCGCCGCTGGAGCGCTCGTCGCTGTGCGCGGAGCCGGCCTCCTCGGGGCTCTCGCGGCTGGCGCCCAGCTCCAGCTCCCGCCGGAAGTTCTCGTAGACGCCCTGGCGCGCCGCGTCCCCCGCGCTGCTGCTGCCGCTGTCGCTGCCCGCGAAGGCGCGGCCGGGCGGCGGCGAGTAGCTGGAGTGCGTGGCGTTGGAGCGCCGGGACAGCAGGTCCGGGTCGGTGGCCGCCCCCTCGATGCCGCTGTCGGCGAACTCGCTGCCCTCGCCCGCGTTGACATCCTGGGCCCAGAGCGGAGAGGAGATGCATCAGGATCAGGCGAGGGGCCACAGCTCCTCCTGCAGGCCGGCCGCGGGACCGCAGGGCGCCTGCCTCCCAGCCTGGCCGGCGTGGAGGCCTCCCCCACCCCTGGACCCCCTCCACCCCTTTCAACCCTACTCCACCCTGACCCCCTCCACCCCCAGGCCCTCCAACCCTGCACCCCCTCCGCCCCTGACCCTTCTCACCCCCCACCCTTCCCACCCCTTAAATCCCCCTTCACCCCCTGACCCTACTCACCCCCCACCCTTCCCACCCCTTAAATCCCACTTCACCCCCAGACCCTTCCCACCCCTGCACCCCCTCCACCCTCTGACCCTTCCCACCCCTGAACCCTCCCCCCTGGGCCTTGCAAACCCACCCTGGGCGGAGCGCCCGGGCGCAGCGCATGGTCACGCCGCCCGCCCGGGACCAGCGGGAACCGCCCCCAGGGCTGGAGGCGCACAAGAGCGGCGGCGCCGCAGGGAGCTGTCCCCCGACTCAGGTCGAACCAATCGCCAGCGGGTACAGGAGGGGAGGCTGCCACCAGCGGCTCAGTGCCCCCTCAGCACCTCGCCCTCCGCTGCGGAGCCGGTTACCAGGATAAAGTGGGAACAGCTGGTAGCGCGTCTTAAAGGGAGGGCGGCAGGAGGCCCTGCCTGGTGGAGGCTAAAAGGACACCAGGCCCCTCCCCGAGGCCGCTCACCCGCAGGGCCAGGACCCCCCCCCCCCCTGCCCGGCCCGCGCCCCTCCCGGCACCGAGCTGACAGCGTGGCCGGCTCCGCAGGCTCTCGGTCCCCTCCCCGTGCAGCGGGCGCTGGGCCGGAGCAGGCCCCTCATGCCCGGGAGCCCAGGTCAGCCCATTCGGAACTGGCAGAGCGGTGCCGGCGGAGCCGAACCTTCCGGCACAGCAGCCCGCTCGGACTCGGGTCTGAGCTGCTCTCCGCTCCCGGCTTCAGGCAGCTCCGCACACAATCAGTGAACAGCGGCCGCACCCGGGGCCAGGCCGGCACCAGGCAGGGGGCGGGAGCGGAGTGGCACAGGACGGGCGAAGGAAGGCACGGTTTGGGGGCTGAACCAGGGCGTGAGCCTTCGGCCCCATGAAGAGCTAACTGTGGTTTGAACGAACAAAAGCTACCGGATGCTCTGAGCTGCCTGGAACACGAGTGCTCTGGGCCCAAATGAGAGGCCCCGGGGCGGGCTGAACGGAGACACACGCCGATCCCGTCCCTCGCGAGGCCCAGCCGGGCGGTGCCCACACCCTGCCCCCGTCAGCCCTCCACAGGCACCTCGGGCTGCACCCTCAGCGCCAACAGGCGCGAGGGGAGCAGCCAGGGGATGGCACCGCCACCCACCAAACAGGGCCGGGACGTGGAACACGCGTGCCCCACGACCTCTCACACGGGACGCAGGGTGACGCCCGGAGCCAGGGGGTGGAAGGGGGTGCAGGGAGGGGGGGACGGGGTGCATGGGGAGGAGCCGGTCACAAGGTCCAAGTTCCAGCTCCCAGATGGGTGTCTGATGGACAGCACGGGGACTGCAGTTAATACCCTGCACTGATACTTATTAATAAAATCTCAGAGAGCGGATCCAGAAATTTGGTCCAGCCCGGCCGGGCCAGCCTGGCTCCGTGGTTGAGCGTCCACCTATGAACCAGTCACAGGCCCGGGTTACGGGCTCCATCCCCAGTGGGGGGCGTGCAGGAGGCAGCCGGTCAATGATTCTCTCTCATCACTGATGTTTCTCTCTCGCGCTCTCTGAGATCAATAACATGCATTTTTAAACTTGGTACTTGTGTGGGGTGATGGGTATGTTAACTAACTTGATTGCAGTCCTCACATCACAATTTACATGTATTAAACATCACACTGGACGTCCTCAGAGCACCACGGTCTGCAGAGGGGGGAGAGCGACTGCAGGGAAAACCTGGCCCCTCGGCCTCAGCCCGGCTCTGGTGAACTGGGCAGGCCGGAGCCCTCTACCACCTACACCTGTTACACTGAAAGAACACCAGTCCGCGCGGTGGAGACAGTAACAGGAAGTGGATAAGAAAGCAACCAAGGCCCTGGCCGGTATGGCTCAATGGATAGAGCATCGGCCTGCGGACTGAAGGGTCCCAGGTTCGATGCCGGTCAAGGGCATGTACCTTGCTTGCGGGCACATCCCCAGTAGGGGGTGTGCAGGAGGCAGCTGATCGATGACTCTCTCTCATCGATGTTTCTAACTCTATATCCCTCTCTCTTCCTCTCTGTAAAAAAATCAATAAAAAAAAAACTTTTTTTTTTAAAGAAAAAAAGCAACCAAGGACCAACTACATTCCCAGTGGACTTGCTCGGCCGAGGGGGACAGGACAGCGTGGGGGCTGCCGGCCCACCTCCCCGTGTCCTGTACTGACGCCGCGGAGGCCAGAGCACCCAGGTGAGTGGGAACAGGAGCCACCGCCCTCTCCCCGCAGTTTCCCCCCCCACCCCCGACCCCGGCCGATGCGGGACAGTACGTGGGACCATCACTGGCTCTCGGGGTGACCGTGACGAGTGGGAATGGGACTGAGGCTCCCCAACATCTGGGCGCATTCTCCAGCCACTCGGCTCTCTGAGCGGAGGGAACCCTGAAATGCAGGCTCGGGCGGAGGCGGTGCCCAGGAGCAGCCCAGACAGAGGAGAGGGGCCAGCCCCATGGTTCCCGGCGCTCCGGACGGGACGGCAGCTGGGAAGCCGCCCCCTGGTCAGTGGGCAGGAAACCGCACCCCTGGCTGCTGGCAGTCGCCTGGCTGGTGGTGGTCGGAGCGTGGACCTCAGGCCTCTGCCTCCCCACCTCCTCCGCCTCCGAGGGCGGCCCTCCTGATTGAATAGTCCACCTCCCGTCTCCCCCTGCCACAGCCCCCCAGGGTCCCCACCAAGGCTGAGCGACTGTTCCCTCAAACCTGACGTGGGGGGCACGGAGGAGATGGAAGGAGGCGAGGGAAACAGACGAAGATCAGACAGGCACCCGCCAAGGGCACGGCTTAGGGGTGTGTCCCCACGGCCGTCCCCCTTTCCTGACGCCCCGTACCCCCCCCCCCGGGACCTGAGAGTAAAGGCCTGGACACACTCACCTCTTGGTCAGACCCGGACATCGGACCGTGCCCCCGGCGTGACCTCAGTGACCTCAGTGACCCGGCCTGGCCTGTGGCTCCGGGACGGCCGTGCGCTGAGCGGACAGGCGGCCCCTCGGCAAGAGGCCCAGTGGCCCCGAGAGCTGAGCTGGTGCCTGGGGCCTCGCCCGCCCCCGGCCGCGTAACTCCACCCGTCCCGCCCCCCACATGTGGGCAGGCCCACGGGACACCTCTGCCCACTGATATGTCGCCCGGCCTGTCGGGAAGGAAGTGCCGGCTGCCTGGGCCCAGCCCTGCTGCTCAGAAGCTGGGGCGCCCGAATTCCCAGAGGCCGGCGGGGCCTTGCGGGCAGTAGTGACGGCCGGGCAGGCTCTGCTCGGACCGGGAGCCGGCAGCGCCCAGCACACGCCCGCCGTCTCAGCCTCAGGGTGGAGAGCACCACCGCAGGGCCGCCCCCGACGGCTCAGCACCCCGAGAAAGACGGGGTCCCGAGCCTCAGGTCCCCGAGCTGCTCTGATGTGGAGAGAGCCGCGGAGGCTGTGTCCGGACGCCCATGCGCTCGGAGGCCAGGGCACACCCCCTGCCCCAGGCGCCACGGCTCAGGCCACAGGCACATCCACACCCCCTGCCCCCGGCTCGCTGACACCTCAGCCCACAGGCAGCATCCGGCCGCCTCCCTGGCGCCATCTTCCCAGGGCCCGCTCCACCCCCTGGGTCCCGGCCCTCCTGCCCCATCTGCCTCCCCACTCGGAGCCCCCGAGACCCTCCCGGCCTCCAGGCAGGACTGCAGACCCCACCCGGGGAGGGTGGGAGTCTCGGCCGGCCCCTAGAAGCACGAGGCCGGTTCCCTCCGTCCCGCCAGACGTCGCAGCCTCTGTCATCCCAGAACATTGACCCAAACCCCGAGGTCTCGCCCAGAGTCGGAGATGGAGGAGACGGAGAGCCGGCCGAAGCGGAGACACGACCCCCCACGGGCGCGTGACCCGGCCGAGTTCCTGCAAAGGCGCAGTCACCCCGCGGTCAGACACATGGAGGGGCTCCCGGGGTCAGCAGCGTCCCGGGCGCCGTGGCCCTCCGTCCCGCTCCCCGGCACCGCCTCCCCCAGGCCTGCAGCCGCTCCCCGGTCTCTGTGGACCGGCACGTTCTGTGGCAGCCGGACCGGCGGTGCCGGCACGCGGTTCCCTCCGCGGTGGCTGCGCGGCGCTCGGGGCCGAGGGGACGGGGAGGCCGTTGACCGGCTCCGGCCTCGGAGCCCAGCACGCGGGCTGTGGCACTGGCACGCCCACGCTGCTCGGGGGACTGACAAAGACGCCCCTGAACAGCAGGGGGAACCAGAGGCTGCTTACGTGCAGAATGGGTCTTCCCTTCCTTACGACCTTTTTTGTCCTCCGCTGAGGATATGTTTTTGCCCCACTAATTTTCGGACAGAGTGGAGAGACGGGAGGAGTAGGGGAGAGAGAAACACCAATTGGTGGCCTCCCACACATGCCTCCAAGTGGGGCCAGCGATCAAACCTGCAACCGAGGCCCATGCCCTTGACCGGCATCGAATCACGACCTCTGGTCTGAAGGCCAACGCTCTAACCATGAAGCCAAACTGGCCAGGGCCCTATTTTCCTATTAACATTCTTTTCTCTCGTTTACTTTACTGTGAAAATCCAATGAAAACCTAAGCGACCATTACAGTAGAACAACCAGAACTACCGGTCGCTATGACGTGCACTGACCACCAGGAGCTGCCTGCGATGTCAGTGTGTCCCCACAGGGGGAGCTCCACTCAGCCGGAAGCCAGGCTCACGGCTGGTGAGGGCCTCTCCTGCCTTCACCGTTTGTAACACACGTGACACGCACAGCGGGTGTGGGGGGACTATTCTTGTCGCTGGTGAGGCACTCATTCAGCAGCTACGTTCTGGGGGTCAGAGTCATACACGGGTTTCCACCTGAGCGGGGGCTGCCCCCGACACCCTGTGGGTCACTGCACGAGGGGCACTGCACGAGGGGCAGGCTTCTGTGTGAACAACAGGGACACAGTTCTGAAGGGTGATTGGCCTCAACGTCCGAGGGCCTGGGCCAGCTCCAGAGCGCGGGGGCCAGCTGGCCACCGTGGTCCAGTCCAGGCGCTCCTGTGGCCGCTCGGTCTAATCTGCCTGTCGAACCCAGCTCCGCACTGCAACCCGCAGGAGAAGCTAAACACACGGAGGAGCCGAAGCCGGTTTGGCTCAGTGGTAGAGCGTCGGTCTGCGGACTGAAGGGTCCCAGGTTCGATCCGGTCAAGGGCATGTACAGTAGGGGGTGTGCAAGAGGCAGCTGGCCTATGTTTCTCTCTCATCGACGTTTCTAGCTCTCTATCTCTCTCCCTTCCTCTCTGTTAAAAATCAATAAAATATATTTTTAAAAAAATAAATAAACACACGGAGGAGCGAGCCCCGGGCGTTGAAGGGGGGCGGGGAGGCTGGGGGGGGGGGGGCAGGTAAAATCTAAAGGTGCTTCCTCTGGTCTCTCATCTTCTCACCCCAGAGTGTAAGTAGCCCCTCCCTTACATTCACATGTGTATGTGCATCTTACAGATGCACATACACATGTGAATGTAAGTGTTCATTACCCCTTCTCACCCCAGAATGTAAGTAGCCCCTCACTTACATTCACATGTGTATGTGCATCTGTAAGATGCACATACACATGTGAACACACGTGCACACGCGTGCACATGGCCCTTGGTTCCCAGTGTTTTCTCCTTGGCGTGGCCAGTGCCCCCTCCCTTGGTCCTCTCAGCACAGTGAGCATCCATTCCAGGCAAGTTACCCTGAGCCAGCCTGTGCCTCAGTTTCCCCCTCTGCACAATGGACAGAAAACCGCATCTGCTTTAAGACGCTGTAAAATGCCGTGGAACTGAGATAACCAGCGAGGTTCCCGCACTGCGCCCGCACACGCCGCTCGGACGTCCTGGAATCAATCACTGCGATCGATCCCCCTGGCGCGAAGCCCACGGAGGCGCCGCCCGCCTGCTCCCGCGGCCGCAGGCCCTGAGGACACGCCGGCTCCCGGGCCGTGGAGAGAAACAGGCCGGCGGGGAGCTACACAGTCTCTGGTTGTTTCGTCGTCACGGGCCAGCTCAGCAGACTCGGGACACAGCCATGTGCCCGTGCCAAGCAGAGAGCACTGGGCACTGGGACCCACGAGGCCATTCCCACCGGCCGCCCACACACAAGGCTTTGGTCCTCTCCCTGCCCAGCTGCCCGGTGCCCTTTGTACGTTGACCTCCGAAGTCTGTAAGTGCCACCTCTGGGGCTCCTTCCACCAGCCCTGACCGCATGGCCTCGCCCCGTGAGCACCTCTGAGCCCTGGGCCTGTCTCCTTCCTGCTGCCACCACACTCACCCCCCTTCTCAGCGATTCATCACGGGAGGGACTCAGAGCTCTCTCCCCACCCTGGGGACCGAGGGCCGGAGACCAGCCAGCGTCGGGGCGCCCGGGGCCACCTGCCCCGTGTCCGCTGAGACCCGCACAGTAAGCCGCCTCCAGTCCCGAGCTAAGCGGTCACTCCCCACAGACCACACCGCCGACTCAGGAGACTACTGCACGCAGCACACACACACACACACACACGCACGTGTACACACGCACACACATGTACACACACACGCGCGCGCGCGCTCAAACACACAGAACTAAACCCTCAGCACTTACTGTGGGGCAGACACCACGTGTCACTTTGGACAGCCTCAATGCGAACGCCAGTGCCTTCTGCTCAGTAACGGACCAGGGAGCCAGCCCAGTAAAGGCGGTTGTTGGATAAACTAGCCTCCCAGGCAGAGGCCACGCTCCGGGCGGGCTGTCTGCGGGGTCGCGGTCCTGGGAGCGGCTGATGGCGTCACCGGGCCGGCGGGGCCTTGAATCTGTGACTCAGGCGCTGAGGAGGTCCCGGGGTCGGGAACTTTACCGACAGGAAGGACAAAGAAGGAATTCTTCCCGGGGATGCGAACTCCTGGCTCCCGGGAGCCGGCGCCGGGAGAAGCACAGCTCGGCCGGGGTGGGGAGGGACGGAGGGGGGTAGGCGCCGCGGTCTGTTTCAAGTCATTCAAGATCCTCGCTCATCGCCCAGCCGGCACGCAACACACTCCCGCTCGGTCCCCAGGCTCCGGTGAGGCCCCGCTCGCCTCCCTCCTGGTCTCCATGGCACTGTCGGGCCACCTCTCACGGAGGGCCCCCGAGACGGGGCCAGTGCCCGAGGCTACAGGGGAGGAGAGAGGGGCAGCTGCCAGCAGCCTCAGGACTCCGTGCCTGCACTTGGCATTCCCTGGAGCAGCTCAGGGCAACCTGAGACCAGTCAGGTGCCCGTCTCCCTCCCTCCTCCTCCTCCCTCCCTCTATTCGGTTCAGAGAATGCCACACCAGAGAATGGACATGCCGTCCGACAGCCACCCACGAGGGCTCTCGGGGTGCGGCCTCTGCCCCCCTCGGGGCTGCCCGGACCGGAGGCTCACACCCCATCAGCAGGAAGTGGGAGCGCAGGGGTCCCGCCGTGCCCAGAGCTGGGACACAGAGGGAGGGCGCTGGGACACAGCGGCACCTGGTCCGCTCTCCCGGGGAACGTGCCGACTGGCACTGCCAGGTAGAGGGACGCTCCCTGCCCAGGGTGCAGCGTGCCCTCCCCGACGCCCCCCTCGGACCCAGTCCCGCGGCGCCCACCTGGCCACGGCCTCGGCGCAGCCTCAGGGCCTCTCGGGGGGGTGTCCCCCCCATCGTCGCAGCTCACCGGCTCACCTGTCACACGGCAGGACCCCCACCCTCCCCACCTCCCCGTGAGGCTGACACTCCATTCAGAGAGCACGTCACCTCCAAACGCCGGCTGACCCAGCCTGGACCCGGGTCAGAGGGCACCCGCTGCCCTCCCGCTGACCTCGCTGCGGTCACCCTGGGGCCTGGCCCTCCCTCCCGGGCAGACGGGGCTGTGATTTCTGACCGGAAGCTGCACCAGCAAACCTGCAGCCTGCCCTCCACACAGGCCCAGGCTCGGGGGCTCTAAGCTCTGCCCGGGGACCAGGCGAGCATCCTCTGGTCCTCATCACAGAAGGTCCCTCAACAGCAAGATGTGGGCTTTCCACAGTCTTCACACCCTCCTCCTCTCCGCCTGGCCCTCAGGCCGGCCAACAGCATCGCCCGCCCCCCCTCAGAGGCAGGCAGGGTCCCACAGTCCCACCGAGCTGGCGGCGCTGGAACGGGCACCCTCCGGGCCATCCCTTCCGTCCCTCCCGCAGGGCTGGCATCGGCCAGGCAGGAAATTGAAATGGCTCCTGGTCAGGCGGGAGCTGCCAGCTTCCAAGAGGCTGACAGATGACCGGGCACCCCCGAACCCGGGCACCTCCTCAGCCTCCTCCCTTCCTCCCGGCGCCCGCAGTGCCCAGGAGAGCCGGCGCCCAGGGGCGCTGATGCAGTTCCCGGTTCCAATGAACCCGGTTCCAGTGAACTTGGCAGCGGCGGAGGCAGGGAGGGGGCGGGGCTGGGAGGAGCGGGGAATCTGCATCCCCAAATGCCTTGTATCTGAGAATTTAAAATTCCAGAATAAAGCAAGACACCTGAGATTTTGAAAATTAAACAGAAAAAGCTCTGCTGTTGGGCAGGACCTCGCAGTCTATGCCGATGTCCGCCCTCCACCCCCTTCCTTCCCCACCCCTCCACCTCCCCATTAGGCCGAGACCTCCTTTCAGAGGGAACTTCACCTCCAAACGCCCATTTGGCTCGGCCTGGACCCAGGTCAGAGGGCCCCGCTGCCCTCCCGCTGACCTCGCTTTGGCCTGCCCCCCCCCCACCCCGCCCCACCCCCGCCCGAGTGCAGAGCACAGAGTAGGGAGGCGAATGCCCTGCAAAATCACCAGACACACCAGTGACTCCCGCAGAGTCCTGAGCCTCCTCCAAAGCCCTGGCCACCCCATCCCTCCGTCCCTCCTCCCCTGTGCCCCTCACCTGCACGTCCCTCACCTGCCCTGCATGCCCCTCACCTGCGCGCCCTCCCCTGCGCCCCTGCCCTGCGCGACCCTCCCCTGTGCCCCTCCCCTGCGTGCCCAACCCCTGCACGCCCCTTCCCTGCACGCCCCTTCCCTGCAGGCCTCGCACCTGCCCTGCACACCCCTCCCCTGCACCCCTCACCTGCGCGGTCCGGGCCCTGCGGCCCTGCCCTGCGCGACCCTCCCCTGCGCCCCTCACCTGCGTGCCCAACCCCTGCACGCCCCTTCCCTGCACGCCCCTTCCCTGCAGGCCTCGCACCTGCCCTGCACGCCCCTCCCCTGCACCCCTCACCTGTGCGCCCTCCCCTGCGCCCCTCACCTGCGTGCCCATCCCCTGCACGCCCCTTCCCTGCACGCCCCTTCCCTGCAGGCCTCGCACCTGCCCTGCACGCCCCTCCCCTGCGCCCCTCACCTGCGCGGTCCGGGCCCTGCGGCCCTGCAGGCTGCCCAGGCCGAGCGGCGGGCCGGTGACGCCCTCGGACAGGCAGTGGGAGCGCCGGCAGGGCAGCGTGTTGTAGGCGCTGTAGGCCGCCTCCTCCGTGCGGTGCGGGCGGCGGGGTGTGTCCGGCGCCAGGTCCCGGCAGTGGCCCGCGCAGCGCCCGCTGCTCGGGGTGCCCAGGTCGCCCAGGGACGTGGCGCGCGGGCAGGCGCCCAGCGGCCTGGGCCCCGCCCGCGCCTCCTCGCCGTCCCGCTCCCCCGCGGCGCCCAGGATGTCCTCGCGGCTGCTCAGCGGCTCCTGGCTCAGGTCGGACAGCGAGAGCTCCAGGCTGTCCTCCCGCCACAGGTCCGCGGACTTGGAGCGCTTCTTCTGGAAGCCGGCGGCCTCCGCGGAGCCGGGCGCGGGGCAGGCGCAGGGCCGCGGGCGCCGGCCGCCCTCCTCCGAGCCCAGCATGCTCTGCTCCGAGGTGGCGGCGAGCGCCACGCTGCTGTCCACGCTGGGGGCCACGGAGGAGCCGGTGTAGGACACGGGCCTCAGGCCCATCTCCACACGGTCCGCCCACAGGGGGTCCCCGATGCCTTGGAGGGCGCCCTGGGCGGCGAAGGGCTCCAGGCCGTTCTCGGCCAGCGCCTGCGGCAGGCTGGGCGTGCTGCTGGACCGCGCGCTGGCCTCCGCGCGCCGGGGCGGCGCCTTCCCCGTGGCCGCGTGGCTGTGGCGGGAGCGCCGGGCCTTGTGCGACAGGCGCAGCGAGCGCGACGTGTGCTTGCGGCCCAGGCCGGCGCGCTTCTCCCCGTAGAAGGCGTGCTCCACGCTCTGGCTCTCGGCGTTGCCCATGGCGTCACGGCCTGCAGCGGGAGGAGAAGGGCACAGAGTCACCCGTGGGCAGGGCGAGGGCGCAGAGGGCCGGGCGCGCAGGGAGGGCACGGCTTGCCAGGCCGGGTGCCGCCCGGTGTGCACCGGATCCTGCCCGGTGGTAGGTGAGCCCACCGGCTACGGGGACGCCCGGCGGGTGGGCAGCAGCATAACAGCGACCGGCTGTGCCCAGGGGTCAGCTGCCCGTCTGCCTGCGCGTGGCTCTCACCAGCTGGCAGCTGTCTCCCTCCTGTGGCCTGTGCTGCTCCGCTCAGACTGGGGGCCCTCCCCAGCGGGGCGGGGGCTGCTTTGTGTGGAATGGCCATGGCAGAACCCAGAGGTGCACCTGACAGCCCCCTCCCAGGAGGCCACCCGCTCCGTTCGGGACCCCCTGCACTCGGAAGTCATTCCAAAGAGAAAACGCAGATGGAAGTCCCGTGGCCTCCTCCTAGTACACCCGCCCGGGGAAAGGTCAGCGGGGGGCAGCGTGGGGTGACAGGCCAGAAAGCCTGCTCTAAGCAGAGCCAGAGCCCAGGGGCTTCCTTCTGGGAGCAAATCCAACCTGAACGCCCCCCGGCTACCGAGCGCCTGGCGGAGCCGCCCACTCATTCCGGTCCCTCCCCCCCATTCCCAGCGCCTCTCACCCCCTGGGGCCGCCCTGCCCCCTGGCCTGGTCTTCCTGCTCTACCAGGAGGCACTCCGGGCCCGGGCCTGGGCACGCGGGGGGCGGCCAGCACCTGAGCTCCTCCTCCGAGAGCCGTCCCGGGCCGCCCGGCGCCACACGGGCCCTCGCCCTCCCGGCCGCGGACACCTGGCTGGAGCCTCCAGGGCACAGGAAAGGATGGCACCGCGCCCACAGAGGGAGGCGAGAGGCGAACGGGCCGACGCGATGCTGGACGCGGCCTCTCACGGCGTGTCTGGGCGTGGCCACGGGCGCACACCGCACTGGTCTCCCTCCCGCTCCCATCTCTATCGCCTCCCCGGCAGGCGCCATGCCCGGCCGCACTGTGCCACCGTCTGAGTGAACTCGGTTTGGCACAGCTCGTCCTCAGATGGACTTACGAGAAGGGCAACTCAAAAATATAACGTGCTCGGGCCCAGCCGGCGTGGCTCAGTGGTTGAGCATCAACCCAGGAACCAGGAGGTCACGGTTCAATTCCCGGTCAGGGCACAGGCCGGGAGGGGGCGGGATGCAGGTGGCAGCCAATCAATCTCATAGATATTTCTACCTCTCCCTCTCCCTTTCTCTCACTCTAAAAACCGATAAAGCATATTTAGAAAATATGAACATTACATAAAACATTCAAGCCCACTGGAGGGCCCAGGATGACCCCGAGGCGGACGGTGGAGCCAGCCTCCCCGTGGCAGCTCAGGGCAGTGTGAACGCCAGCGCGGGGCCCGGACAGTGCATGCAAATGACAATTATTAATAATAAAACGCTTCACGCCCTGAGGTATTTAAAAACTTATTAAAATAAACCTAATGATCACCCTCCTCTGACTTGCGAACAGACCTCGACGACGCGGGAGAGGGAAGGCAATGTGTTTATTTCGGAGCTAAATCCGAAGCGAACATCACAAGACAACAGATTGCCAGCGTAAAATTAGCTTCCAGTGGGAGGCCTTGTTTTGGAGCCTGTTTTCCCGCTGGAGGCTGAGCCTGGGACGGGGAAAGGCGGGCGTGTGTGTGTGTGTGTGTGTGTGTGTGTGTGTGTAAGAGATGCTAACATTGAGGACCCTGTCCCTCCTCACGCCCAAGGAGAGCGAGCGTCCGCCAAGGGGCCGAGGGGATTGTTTTGCCACAAAAGGAGTTGCTCTTTGGCTCAGAAAGGTCGTGGCTTTGACTGCACTGACGCTGCTTTTTAAAGATCACCCAGATCCACGGCGCGGCTTTGAAGTGAGATTTCCAAGCCCTGTGCCTTCCCCAACGTGATCCCACTGAAGACGGTGAGGCCGGGGTAAGCCTAAAGGATCCGAGGGCGAGGCCCGGGAAACCGCGTCCCGACCTGCTCTGGTTCCTGCCTCCGAGCTTTAACGCTCACGCGTCTCCATGGCTGAAACAGGCGTAACCGCAGCCCGAAGAAGTGACTCAGTCTCTTTCCCACAAGCCCCATCCCGCTCAGCGGCTCCCAGTACGTCCCCACGTGTCTGACCCCGTTTGCCCACGCCCTCTCGGGACCCACTGATGCCCGGCCCACAGTGCCCGGCTCACCTGCCCAGACGGCAGCGGCTCCCGGCCCCGGGTGCCCCGAGAGCCCTGTGGCATGTAGGTCCTGGCGCCGGCTGTGGCGTCGGGAGGAACAGCGGCCGGGCGGGGGCGTCCTCAGCACCGGGCCCCCGGCACAGCCATGGCGGTCTCATCGGCGTCTACCGGTCCCGCCAACACCTGGAGGGGACAGGGCGGGAGAGGCGGTCAGCGGCCGGGCGGCGGCACTCGTCGCCGGCTGAAACCCACCCCTGACCCACAGCGCTGCCCCAGCACAGGAACGAAGGCCGTGCCCAATCAGATAAGCACACAAGCACACACATGTTCCCACCAACGGCGACGAGCAGCCCTGCGCACAGAGGATTGTGTCACTTCGCCTCTTCCTGTGGGTCAGCGAGGGGGGCGTCCGGCCCCCGGGCCGCGCCGGGCCTAGAAAGCATGTGGCCTGGCTCTGCCCAGGCCTCGGGGGAGGTCGCTGACCTGGGACCGCAGAGCAGGCGCGTAAGCGGATAATGTCGTGTGGCCCGCGGACGCCTTGCAGACACCACAGGCCCTGGGCCGGAAGGCCCCCGCCCCGGACTCAGGGACCGGGTGACAGAGACCGCCAAACAGGCGCGTGACGCGGGAGGGGGGAGGAGGGTGGTTCTAACGCGGAGCTGCGCTGGCAGCCGACAGTGACGACACGCCGTGAGGCCGTGAACAGGCTCCCCGTGGACGCGTCCTCGCACCGCCCGACGCCCACCCAGGGGAAGGCAGGGGAGCAGGGGCCCAGCCCGAACCCGGTGAGACAGCCAGGCCGTCCTGAGCCCAGAGGGTGCACGGCGGGGTGGTACCACCCACAAGCAGGTTTAATGGTTCTTTTTTAAAATGTAGATTTGCTATTGATCTCAGAGAGGAAGGCAGAGAGAGACCGAACCTAGAAACATCAGTGATGAGAGGGAATCACTGATCGGCTGCCTCCTGCACGCCCCACACTGGGGATGGAGCCCACAACCCGGACCTGGGCCCTGACTGGGAATCGAACCAGGACCTCCAGGTTCATAGGTCGATGCTCAACCCCTGAGCCACACGGCGGGGCTCATGGTCCTTTTCTTACAGCCCTGGGAGAGAGAGATGCGGGGTGCCTGGGGGGGTCCCGGGGGCTGCCCCCGCCGCCCACCACCAGCCAGGCCTCTGGGCCCCGGTGCGGGCGCTCGGCGAGGGACGGGAGCGGCCCTCGGAGGCAGGAAGTGACCGTGAGTCCGCGGAGGACAGGACAACGAGGCGCCCCCATCCTTTCTTGTCTCAGAAACGTGCTATTTAACGGTGACGTGTGACTCACATGCAGGGAGGAGCATGACTTCTCAGCACACCATGATTACCCCAAAATACGCACCCTTCCCACGACCCCCGCTGCTGCCCGCCGCTCCCCCCCCTACCGCCCACCCCCCAAGTCATTGGCATCCAATGAGCCCGGGCAGGACCCACTCAGCCGCAGCACGGTCCGCTGGGAAAGGCTCCCAGGCGAGTGTGTGGCCAGAGGTGGCCTCTGTGTCCTGGACACTTCGTGCCTGTAGGCCACGCAGAGCACGCTGGGAAGGAGCCACGGTCCTGGGCTCCTTAAAACCGACACCAGCCCGGCCACGTGGCTGTGGCTGAGCATCCACCTAGGGACCAGGAGGTCACGGCAGATTCCCGGTCGGGGCACAGGCCTGGCTGCAGGTTCGATCCCCAGTGGAGGGCGTGCAGGAGGGAGCCATCCTTGATTCTCTCTCATCATGGATATTTCTCTCTCTCTCCCTCTCCCTTCCTCTGAAATCAATAAAAATATATTTTTTTAAAGAAGAAAAACAGGGCCCCACCTCACTGAGCTGTGACTGTGTTGTGAGTCACAGGGAAGAAGGGGTCCCCCTGAGCCTGCTGGGACAGGGGGCACGGGTGGGCGGTTTGAAGATGGGGCTGCCCCCGTGGCTGCTGGTGCACACGGCCCGCAGGGAACTCACAGCCAGGCCACCAGCTCGCACCCCGTGGAGATGACCCCCGACCCCGGTGAGGCAGACGCTGCCCGATGAGTGTGTCGCTGACTCAGACCACCTCCACGCCCGCCTCTGCAGGGGGCATGGACCCGGCTCCCACCGGCCAGTGTGCGGCTGGAGGTGGGGACTCCCCAGACCAACTCCCAGGCGGCAGGTCCCAGGAACAGGGGCGAACAAACGGACGGACAGACGGATGGACGGATGGTCAGGGGCACTGGGAGTGTTCACATGGCTCAGAAGTTAAGAAGAAAACTCCTCAGTCGTGTCTTTGTTTTCTTTAACCCTCGGTTTATAAAGCAAAAGGCGGGAGTGATTAGATCCATCCTGGGAACCGGACTGACGAGAGCCCTCCGGGAGGGGGGACCCTCCGGGGGGAGAAGAGGCGCCACAGGGGAGGCCCGGGAAGAGGGAGCGGGCAAGGGGCGGGAGCCCTGTGCGGGGCTGGAGCGGGACCCGTGGCCGTGGCCGTGGCCGTGGCCGCTGCAGCCTCAGCCCTGCAGACACGGTGTGCTGTGCAGGGGAGGAGCCCTCCCAGGAGCAGGGCGGGTGGGGGAGGGTTACAGTGGGGGGCGAGCGGGCAGGCTCTGGCTCAGGGCCCAGCACAACTCCTTGGCCTGGGGCCCAGGCAGCCACGCCCCATCTGACAGCATCTGACACCACAGGTCACCGCAGGCAGCGTGGCTGTCAGATCAAGACTCCACAGAGAGCCACCCTCCCCCGCCCCCGTCCTCCAGCTGAGGCCCCCCCCGTCCTCCAGCTGAG